ACGTCGGCATCCCAGGGCAGGGCCCGCTGCCCACCCCCACCCCCGCCTCTTTCTCCCCAGGACGGTCCGCGTCTACAAGGGCAACAAGAGCTTCGGCTTCACGCTGCGCGGCCACGGGCCCGTCTGGATCGAGTCTGTCCTGCCTGGTGAGGGGTGGGCAGGTTGTCCAGGATGGGGCGAAGGGCCCCATTGGGCCGCCGCTCAGCACCCCCGACTCCCGCCCGCCCCGTACCCACCTCATGTAGCCTGTGTCCTCCAAGCGAGCGTCCCAGGGCAGCAGCCAAATCATCCATCTCCGAGCTGGGCAACGCCGTCCAAGCTCAGGGTCACCCCTGAGCCGAGTGAAACAAGCTCTCCGCCCAGACCTTCCCTATGCCCACCTGGAGGGCGGGGCACCGGGGCCAGGCAGCCGGAACGGAGCAGATGTCTGCCCAGGCTGGGCCCAAACCACACTCCCTGTGCAGGGGCCACCTTCACTGTGAAAGGGCATTGCCAGGCAGCCAGACCCACACCCTGCCGCCCACCTGCCTTCTTGCTCCCGGAATGGCGGCATCTTGCAGAAGGCGGAGCAGGAATTCCCCCTTCTCACCCTCCAGTGGAAGGGGGTGGGGGGTGGGGGGGGAGAAACCCATGTCTTGTTGAGGCAGCCCATCCAGTGTGGGTTTGAACTCTCCCTCCCTGTACCCACCCCCAGGGCTGGGCCACCTGCTCTGCCTGGCACCCATCCCCTCCCAGCACGTGAGTGTGGTGCTCTTGGGGCTCCGTCCCCATGGGTGCCCCATGGGTGCCCGGCTGAGGCTGAGTCCTTCCACCCTCCTGCCTCTCACGCCTGCGGGCGCACTGGTCTGGACGATGGGCATCTTCTGCCTCCTGGGAAAGTGTCAGGGCCTTTGCCCACCGTGCCAGCCACTGGATACTCAGGTCTGACCCTGGTGGCTGACGCGCCCGGGTCCCCTCGGATTTGGGTACCACTGTCGTTGACATGCTGTTGTTGGGACAAGGTCCGAAGCTGCTCTCTGGGGAGCGTCCTCTGGAAACGAGTCATCTCTCCTCTTTGGATGTGTCTCTTCCAACTATGCCGCCCCCACCCCACCTCCCTGCCTCCCCACGAGTGGGCAGAGCCGCCTGGCCTGGGCCAGTTACAATCCAGGTGTGCTGCTCTGCCCAGCCCGGCCGCCAGGGGGACCCTTCCTCCGGTGACAACGGCAGGGAGGAACCTTGGTGTGGGCCTTCGGAGGAGGACAGAGAACTGTGCGGAGTGGCGTCCTCTGGGGGCGCAGACGCTGCAGAGATGCTGCTCGCAGATCTTTGTTTCAGCTCATCTCCAACCGCTCAGGGCTGACCGGCCGCCCCAGCACCCCCGCCTGCCTGGAATCACTCCGGGCTAGAGTAGCGAGCGAGGCGCAGGGCCTGAGCTGGTCTAATGCGGGCACCGCGGCCGAATTGGCTCCCTCCCTGTTGACCAGTTGTCGCCTGGGAGGCAGGCTCGGCCCACGCCACCCGCTGACCAGCGGCCCTCTCTTCTTGCCTCCAGGAAGCCCGGCTGACAATGCCGCCCTCAGGTCGGGCGACCGGATCCTCTTCCTCAATGGACTGGACATGAGGTCAGAGGCTGCTGGGGACACCAGAGATTGGCGGAGAACTGTCCCCCAAAACTGCTGCCTCTTGGGACCCCCAGCCCTGGTCCTGATCTCTCTGCCCAGTGGGTCCCCAGGGTCTGCCCCTCATCCTAGGGGAACTCCTGAATCTATTCTCCCGCCCTCGCCAGGACATCAGTTCATCCTTCCAACCAGAAAACACCCCAGCCCCACGCAGGGCACAGAGTTGAAAGTCTTGCCCTGTAGGGGGAGCCCTGCCCGGGGGTGCGGGGGTGGGGGGGATGGGTGCCAGCCCTTCTGTGCCCTGGAGCTGCTCCTGCGGAGAGGACCTGGCAGGAGAGGCCGTGCCCGCCTCTGGCTGTGGCCCTGCTGGGGACTTGCTGTGTGGCCTCTGCAGGGAGGACGGGCAGGGGCG